GTAAGGGGAACGTGTTTCCAAAAACCTTCACTTTAGCATGCGGAAGGAAACTGTAGAAGTTCTCACTATGTTGGTCCAGGCTGGACTCTCAGAAACTGCAATACTTCAGAAACGTCCCCTTAAATGCTTTTAATTCTATCATCTGAGGTTGGAAATCCTCCAGCACAAGATGAAATTAAACCCCTGTGTTTATAACCAAAGTAATTTCTATTTTTCTTCATTAGAGATCTAGTATGGAAAGCATACAAAAATACTGCCAATTTATTTTAAAAAATACTTCTGAGAAGACAGAATTGCAATGTTCTTGAATAATTTCAATGAAAGAATCCAAAATTAGTTTTATAAAAAAAGACTATGAATTGAGACACAAAACCATTGACTCAAACAGCACTGAATGAAGTGTTTGTCTAAATTTGGGGGGGAGGGGGGAAGGGTGTCATGTTATGTACTTGAAAATGAATCTGAAAATTCGTTTTGTTAAGGAAGTTACAGCATGTCTTAAAACTGGGTCAGTATAAATAATGCCATCTGCGGGATCACTGAAATTAGAGATACTGCAGCGCAGATAAGACTTAGCAAATACCCAAGCTGTTTCCTCTGCCAAGTTCATTCTCAAACATACAACTAACTTTTAACGTATGAATTAAGAGAAAGCAGACTTACTTTTTAAGATCTGAGATTACGAGATATCACTAATCAACTCTTCCATTGTTCCATCTTACTATAGTATAATACAGAGATTAACTTTGAAATCACTTGACAACAGTATTGTTCAGCTCTGTCTCTGTAACTTGAAAGCAATCTGGCTGATATTGTATCTAGTGCTGAAAGCCTCAAACTTCTATACAGTAAAACTTTGTAAGCCTTTAACTTCACCTTACACTGCTACAAAGTCATTTTGACTTCTCTCTAGTTTCTTGTTACTGTAAAATATTTTAAAGGTTTCCTTTTCTTTTACAGCGTTTAATAAACCATAACCCCCAACTCAAGCCAGAATTAGCTGAAAGTAGACTGATTTTATTCTGGTATCAGGCAAAATGTCAAATTAGACTCATTAGTGGAAGCATGCACTTTACTGCTAGGTATACTTCCTATGTACTATGGGTTCCACCCAAAAGGCTCATCTCGCTGTGAGAAGAGGCCAGATCTAAGATGTGCTACCAGTAAAGTTCTGTAAGAAATAATTTTCAAAAACAAGTTTAAGAAGATTAATGTTCTTGCTCTTTCCTTCTGTATTGCACTACTCACAAAACTTTTTGACTGAGAGTTTATGAAAAAACACAACCCAAGTACAAACAGCAGTATATCCATTTTCACTGGCACTCTCCTCTACTGCTTTGACCATCCACATTTCACCTGGCAGTTCACACCTGAGTAGATTATATCCTTTAAAGGTATGTAAGGGCCTTTCACTCTATGCTGATCCCTTGCCGGCAATGTAAGAAATTGCCGTTAAGGACATTCAGCTGACCACCTTTACGGCTTAACCCTTTTTATTGTTCTTCCAAACCTCACAAATATACAGACATCAGAATTCACTCTCTATCCTTTATCCATTTTTCATTCAGCCTTGAATATCATGTTCAGAATAGTATTTTTCCCTGTCTTAAAAAAATGGGTACTACACTGTGATTTCCTTTTTAAGCAAATTACAGATTAAAGTAGTTTCACCCAGTTATTTTAGAAGACTATCCTAAAAGCAGAAGCAACTAAAAATTGTCCTATCTTCTAGCTAGCAGAACTAATACCCATTTTAACTACTTTGATGCTTATATCCTTTATCAAAGAAGTGTTACAAAGGACTACTTTTCATCCAACCAATCCAATGGAAAGTAAAGGCTTCCCTTTATGTGTACAGGATCAATGTGTTAAAAGGAGAGCGGGAAAGAAGTCTCCTCACTCAGCTTGTACAGAGTGTCAAAAATAGGAGGACGCTGCTCAGAGCTGCTTCTTTGCAATGCCTAATCAGAAACTAACTTGTATCCAATAGAACTGCAGTCTCAAACTTTCCTTTGCAACAGAAAATCATCAGCTCTTGGTATGTATTTAGTGCTAACACACACTGAAAAAACACTAATTACTTTTGTACTAGAACATGAACTCAACTGTATCCATGCAAACTGAAACATGGTATTTAAGCAATGGGCAGCTTGACCTCTTAAGAGGACCTCTGCAGCAATTACAAAATTGCAGTCTGGTCCAAAATTTTGCCAGCCTAAAATTAGTTCTTTAAGTATCTAAATATTTTATAAACACTTAAGAGAATATGATTTACCCAGGAACCACTGGGCTGCTATCTAAGACTTCTTCTCAATGGTTTTTACATCTAAAGCCTACGAATAATACCCTAGCATCTTGAATGCCTTCATTATGGTCCTCAACTTAAACTTCAACATTTTGTGTAAGCATTCAGCATCATACTTGATAGCTGCAAACCAAGAGAACTGGAAACACCTAATGTCATTCAGGGGTAATGCATCTGAACGGTAGTTTTTCCTGCTCATAAATATATTATTTTCTTTTAATTTCTTTCAGCTATAATCCATGTCCCAATAACTATTTATGCGCAAGACTTAAGGTCTAAATCAAGCAAGTAGAAAAAAACTATAGCAATTAGTAAAATACAGTGCTTCAATATTCTCAGTCACATGTGGATTCTTTCCAGAAGGTCACTTTTTTTTTAAATAGGATGACAAGATAGACATGTGCCATGAGATTAGGAAGTGTTTAGTGCAATTCTTGTATTTTCCTATCATCTAAATGAAAAAGGTTTACATTTTTCAATGCAGCTGTTTTCTGATTTGTATATCAAAGAAATAGAAGTCAAAAAAATTTCATGTTCTTTGTTAGTTAAAAAGTCTGTCTGCTAACCCTGAATTCTTTCAAAAATACTCTGCGTGGAGAGGATTCAGGCAAGTTCCGTACACAGTGGACACATGAGTGCAAACAAATTGACAACATGGACATGTAGCAGACAAGACAATTACAGTTTGCCAATTTACCTGGAAGTGGAATAGGCATGCCAGGAAGGGGGACACGAAATGGAGGTACCATTACTGGTGGAAAAGCAGGAATTGCTGCAGTTGGTTGAGGTACTGCATGAGGAACTGCAGGAGGCAATGTCTGTGGGACTGGCTGGGGTACAGTCTGCACAGGTGTAGCAGAAGGAGCAGAGGTTGAAACACTGACTGATGGTGTGGCAACTGAAACACCCGAACTTGGGGTCTGGTCTTGTGTGGTAGGTGCTGATAAAAAAAAACAAAGAACACCTTGTATCTTAGACACTACAATATACTTGCTGCAAACATACTGGCTCTCTGTTTCCCAACAGACCTTATATAAGCAGATATGCTTAGATATAATCAGGAGGCAGACACTCTTGGACAAAAAAAGTTTGCCTTCTCTGTAACACTAAATATGCAGAAAAAAGTAAATTTAAAATTTTACTTTGTCCCATTCTTTACACCTAAGAAGTCTGTACAGCAGTAGCAATGGTGTACCAAAGGACAAATACAGCCTCTGTATCCCTCTTCAGAAAAATTAAAAGGGAATGTTACAGAGTTTCAAATGGAAAAAGATTGCTTGCTCTTATGCTAAATGAATAGCACAGCTTCTGCTTTTTAACAATAATGGCAGCAGCATGTGCATAACAACACCCTGCCTAAAACTGTGCTTATTAAGCTGTGATCCAAGAATGGAAAAAATGTCAATTAAAAAAAAAGTGTAAATAAGCAAGGAAAAAGAAAGTACTTTTGTTCAGAAGCTGCAAGAACTTTCTTACTCTTCAGTGCCTCCCAGTGGGAAAATACACTACTAGCATTCAATTCCATAATCCTTGCAGCATGACTGAAATCAGCACTTAACTGAAAATAAATAGTGCTACGTATCAAAGCACTGGCAAACAGGAACTAGAGACATGACTGATTAAACTCGTTGACCAGTCTTGCAAATTTACACTGTAAGATTTGGTGGAGGGGAGGAGAAACGGTTGTAAAAATGAGATAATTTAAAAACAAAAAAGAAACCACACCAACTTATGACCGTATTATATATGGGCATCCTGTGCATTTTCTTCAGTATTTAATGACTACCAGAAGCATTCCCAATAGCATATGCGTATTAACATATTTAAATAAAGATTTTTGATCTGTTGATACGTGTTTCAGAAAGAGTAAAAGTTCTTAGCACTGCCTAAAATTTAGGGAAACAGAGCAGACAGTCAGTATGTGATCTGTTTTAAGGCCTAAGTCAAATCAGTACCAGATAAGAAAGAAGCTCAGCCAGAAGTCCCAGGGTTTTTTTACAGGCCAAGTCTGAGAGTTATAAAAATTTTATCATTTAAAATAATTTATCACTTAGGCACAGACACCAACAGTAACAGTTCTTGAAAGCAAAGACAAAGTTTAGCAGTAGAACAGGTAAAAGTGGAACAGACTCTCAGCGTTCAATATTATGAAATTTTGCTCCAGAGAAGGCGCATAAAGTGCTATTCCAAAAGCAGGATCAGGTCTCAAAAGCCTGGCATTAGGCCAGAAGCTAACATTCACTTCCTACCTGATCCTTGTTACTCAGCAAAGTGGTTAAGACTAGACCATATTTCAACAAAGCAGCTGAATGCAGTACTAAGTTACCTTCCAAATTAAATAAGAGCCCTAAAATGCTTTGAGCAATACAAATTATTTGCTACTCCAATGATTTGTCCTCCCTCCGGTATTAACTGAAAGCATAATTTGAGGATTACCTAAATCTGACTCCCTTTCACCAACAGGCCTCTAAAGTTTGGGTTAAATGGTGAGTTAAGCTTGACTTGTCTCACCTGTTACAAGAAAAAAAATGAAATAATTCCAGAGGATGCAACTATACGCTAGAGCTGGAGTTAGAACAGTTCAGCAATTGCTCATCTTCTACACACTCTTTGGCCTGACTCGGTGCACACATTTTTGCCAGCGCAGCTACAATGATCAAGACCATCAAACAATAGGATTTCTGATCAGCATAGATGATGTGCTTTCAGTAGCCCTGCGTGTAGACAGTAACACTAACCAAACTGTTCCTTAATAAGCGTACCTTGCTTTGTTCATGCCAGGTGATCTGACTCACTGTTTGCTGGTGACACACTCATGTGCAAATAGTACTTAAGATACATCTCTATATAGATGTTCTGCACTACAGGCACTTTGTTAGCACATATATGTCAAACTATAGTATAAATCACACTATTTACAGTATACGCAGATACTATGTAGTAACACGCATTATGTGCGTGTTGCATAAATTCAGTCCCCTTTCCTCTTGAGGTTCCCTCAGTTGGAAAACCCTAAAAAGCAAAGGCTCAGCCCATGTAAACAGCAGTAATCTTCAGACTATTGTTCACTCAGGACCTTTGAATAATAATGGTTCTAAGGACCTTCTTTTTCCTCTTTTATGCAACTCTAGCAAATGGGAACTTACAAGGCTTAGTCAGAGCCAGAAGAATAATGCTAATAAAAGTAATAGACCAGAAGAAGCTCTATTCTGCAATCAACCAATTCTCCGCAGCCCAAGAGCAGCACTCAAAGATCCAGCCTCGAAAAGCAACAGATGACATTTTGGAAACAAAGAGGAAATTGCTACAACTTTTAAAAACAATTTAGTTTTATCTATAGTCAAAAAGAAATGGATGCATAGTAGCTTTAAGATGATGTGATAACAGCAGAAGAAAAATATACAAAGACCCAAAGAAGAAGGGTTGCATACTGATCTAGTATTACTCTCCTGAAGTAACTCTCTCAGATTGCAGGGGCGCAGGTTCACATGCAAGGTTCTTCTGGATTAAACACTGTACTTCAAACTCATGCTCCACTTAACGTTGAAACAAATTCCTCCTGGATACCAAGTTTTTGCTGCAGTAACACCCCAAAGCAGCATCCCCACCATCTGCTCCCCACCATCACAAAGGTTAAGAAACTCTTACTCACTGGAAATCGTCTGTGAAACTGAAGTGGCTGTGGTTGTGGTAGAGGTTGTGGAGGACTGAGTACTTGAGGACGTGGATGGAGATGCTGCAGATGCAGGACTACTGGTGGTCGGTGTGGAGGCACCTACTGCTTGTGCCTGGGCCTGGGCTTGCGCCTGGGCCTGGGCTTGTGCAGCCAGCATCGGCGTTAACTCCGACTGCTGAATAACTTTGACCCCATCTGGCTTACTCCATGCTGACTCACGTGTACGCGCATTATAGAAATAGACCTACAATTTAAGAATGTCACCATCAAACAACTGCTTATCTGGAGGGGGAGCATTTATAAATGGTCCAGTTCCTCCTGTTTTCAAAATCATTAGTAAGAGGATAAACAAGAGCATAGGATTTTACCGCAGTGCAAGACTGTGTATGACAACATGCTCACAACAGCAGTAAACACACTTTACTTTGCTGTTTCTGGTAACCATCTTACCTTGCCATCTGGAGTTTTGTTTTCTACCCATATCTCTTCAGCTGGGGGCATTGCTGGTGTTCCAGGGGCAGTGACAGGTGGCCTTGCT